CACACACACACACACACACACACACACACACACACACACACACACACCCCAGAGGCTGGCTACAAATGCCTTAGCTCTTTTTCATGTCTAATGTGCTTGACCTTGACATTCTAATGCAGTAGACACCAAGACAACCAGGGAAAGTGCTAAGGGTACAAGGAATTATAAGGACTTTGCCTTATCCCAGGATACATGAGTGAGCTATTTCTATTTTCTTTCACCAGTAATGTTTAATATCATTTATCAACTAGGCATACTATAGCTCATTCTCAGAACGTGTCTATCTGTTGTAATGATGATGATGGTGGTGGTGTTTGTATAGCACCTTCAAGCTTCCATAGTGCTTACACTACTGAAATCTTCCTCTGATGCATGGTCTTCCCATGAAAGTGACCCTGGGCCGTCTGGGACTAAGCCAGTGGACCACAAACTTCATTGGGTCCCACCAAACTGGAAAAGCTTTGAGGACAGACCCAGCGGGGGAATGTGCATCCGTTGTCCCATAACCAACCCAGCCTAGCTGAGAGAGGCTCATCAGTAGACGAATCCTCTACCAAATTGTAGGGGCACCTACGGGCCACAATGGCTAGAGTGCTGGGCCTGGAATCAGAAAGACCTGAGGTCAAATCTGCCTTCAGACACTTACTAGCTGTATGACTGTGGGCGGGTCACTGAACTTCTGCCTGCCTCAGTTTCCTCATCTATAAAATGAGGACAATAATAGCACTTACCTCCCAAGGTTGTTGTGAGGATCAAATAATAAACCTTAAAGCTTTATATAAATAATAATTGTTATTATCATTATTAGAAAGGCTGGGAACTTGCTGTTATAGGCAGTAAGCATACCACCTGAATCACAAGGGAGAATTCAGTTCAATCCAAAAAGCATTTACTAAGCTCACAGCACAAAGGAGACACTGTGTGAGGCAAAGGGTGCACAAAGACGAAAACAAAACAGTGTCTGCCCTTAAGGAATCAATGGTAGCAACGTTGCACGTACACGAGTAACTAAATGCAAAGTATATAGAAAGTAATATTGTAGCTTGTCCTTCGCTCTCAGAGAGGACCATGACATCCGGGAGGTGATGCCATGATTTGCAAGTGACTTGGATTTAAGTGAGGCAGTGCAAAGTCACCAGCCTCACTTTCTCCTCCGGGGCCATCTGGGTCAGGACAACTGGAGATGGCCCCACAAAGTAATATGATTCCAAGAAGAGACAGCCAATATCTGGGAGGATCAGGAAAGGCTCTGAGAAGGAGGCCAGAGGGGGTACTCTGAAGGCGGCTAGAGATTCTCAGAGGCAGAGGGGAGGAGAGAGGGCAGTCTAGATACCCAGGAATCACCGGTGCGAGGCAGGGAGGGGAAGAACAGAACACGTAGGGTTCAGGGAAGGGTTTAGGCGGCCAGCTGGCCAAGAACCGAACACCAAGTGAACGGGGTCGATATGAAATAGAAGTGGAAAGGCAGATGGGAACCAGACTGGGAAGGGCTTGCAGTACCCTAAACTAGGAGTTCCTAGTTTATCCTGGAGGTGACGCATTTAAGCAGAGGTGTCATAAGGGGGGATGCTGAACAAGACTAATCTCTCTGCCACATGCAGCCCTTCCGATACAGGATCACAGCTACCACGTTCCTCGGGCCTCTTCTTTTCAGGCTAACATTTTCAATTTCGGTCAGTCCTGACGCAGCAAGGACTCAGGGCCCCTCACCATTCTAGATGCCCTTCTCTGAGCGCTCTCCAGATTATCCACATCCTTAAAATGCGCTTTAACACAATAGCCCAGGCACAGTCTCATTTCTACCTCTCTAAAAACTCTGTCTGTGAGAAGCTTTCCACTGCCCCTTCACCTTTTTCTTGGGAATACAAACTGAGCTGAATTACCGAGGAATGAATGAATGAATGAATGAATGAATGAATGAATGAGAGAGGAGGAGGGAAATTGTCCTGAGGAGTGATGGGCCCCGGAAAGGAGGGCTCTGAGGCGTCTGACCTGGTGTGTGACCTTGGGCAGCCGGCTGGGCTACAGGTTCCCCATCTCTAGGGACCTCCAAGCCCTGTCCCCTTCTCAGAGGAGGATCCTATGATCCAGCAGGCACAGTCCACCTGTCAATCAACCCTGATAAAGGGCCTGCTATGGGCAATGTTGTTCAGTTATGTCCAACTCCCCGTGACCCCATTTGGGATTTTCTTGGCAAAGATCCTGGAGTGGTTTGCCATTTCCTCCTCCAGCTCATTTTACAGGTGAGGAAACTGAGGCAACCAGGCTGAAGTGACTTGCCCAGGATCACACAGCTAGTGTCTGAGGTCGAATCTGAACTCAGGTTTCCCTGACTCTACCCCCTGTGCCCCACCCCCTGAACCACCTGGCTACCCCACTGCGTGCAAGCACTGGGCCCCAAATCCTACCTCTGATTCCTGCTACCTTGGGTGACCCTGGGCAGGTGGCTTCGCCTCTCTGGGCCTCAGTTTCCTCATCTGTCAAAGGAGGTAGGTAGGTGGTTCTAGATGCCTTCTCTCCTCCCCCTCTTCCTCTCTCTCCTTCTCTCTCTCTTTTCCCTGTCTCTCTCTCCCCTACTCCTGTCCCTTTGTCTCTCTCTTCTCGTTCTCTCCCCTTCCCCCACCCCGCACGTGGGCGGAAGTCCCGCCCCTTCCGGCCTCTTTTCCCCGCCTCTCCTGGGCTGGTTTCTTCCGCTCCTCCCGAGGACGTTCTGGAAGCTTCCAGAGCCCGAGGTGAGGGAGGGGGAAGAGGCGAGCAAATATTCGCTTTGAGGATTGTTATTGGGGGGTCCTCGTGAACCCTGGACCGCGGGGGGCCATTACCCCCATTTTACTGGAGAGCAAACTAAGGCTGGGGGAGGTGGTTATCACCCACGTGACCCGGAAGTAAGTGACTGCCTAATTAGGGAGGGGGAGGGGGAGGGGAGGGGGGGGGGAGGGGGAGGGGAGGGGAGGGGGAGGGGTCCTAACCTGGGGCCAGAATCTGGTTTTCAAAAATATTTTCGTTGTGTCAGTGTCTTTGGTTTCCTTTGTAATCTTGTGTATAAAAATAATGATGATAACAGCTGTTATTTCTGCAACCTTCAAAGAGGTTTTAAAAATATTTTGACCATTATTTAATTGGTTTCCTTTGTAATACTATTTATTATTATAAATAACATTTATACAACTGGTTTTTAAAAATATTTTGATCCCCAGATTCAGTGTCATTGGTTTGCTTTGTAAACCTATGTATTTTAATAATAATATAACCAGCATTTAACTTTTAAAGGCATTTAAAAAAATGTTTTGATCACTATTTCAGTGTCATTAGGTTCCTTCCTAATCCTATCTTAATAACAAATAATTCACATAAATGTAACTTTTAAAAGCGTTTTTTGGGGTTTTTTTTTTGCTTTTTTGGTGAGGCACTTGGGGTTAAGTGACTTGCCCAGGGTCACACAGCTAGTTAAGTGTTAAGTATCTGAGGCTGGGTTTGAACTCAGGTCCTCCTGACTCCAAGGCCAGAGCTCTGTTCACTGCGCCACCTAGCTCTAAGAACATTTTTAAGAAATGTTTTGGTCCCTGGATTTCCGTCTCGCTGGTTTCCTTGGTAATGCTCTGTATTTTATTGCATGCATTTTAAGCTCTGGTTCTGAGAAGGTCTTGGGGTCCTCCAGATGCTGCTGCCAGGACGCCCACCTGAGGCAGAAGCATTGGATTGGTTTGACCTCATATCCCACCCCCCTTCCTCCACCTAGACCCTTTAAAAGCCTTTCCTTCTCCCCTCCAGCTCCCAGGGCTCTCGGTATTTTCTCCATATTTTGTGTTGATTTATTCTTCCTGTTTCCTCTTAATGGAATCTAAGCTCCAGGAGGGAGCCCTTGAGGGGCTTCATTTTTGTCTTTCTGCCCCCAGGGTTTGCACCAGAAGAAGGCACAGAGTCAGTGCTCATTGACTGAATGGGCCCCCATGTGAACTCCAGCTAAGGCTGAGACAGGGGTGCAACGTTGCTCTGCAGCCTTAGGGCCACACCTCTGAGCATTCAATTTTATACTTCTTTGTGTATATTTTTTGCTCTGCACTTAGTAGGATAGGGATAGGGATTGGGTATTGGACCTTTGTTTTCATTGAAGATTGAAGATATAGGGAAAAAAAAACCCAGAAGTTACTGAGTATCAAAAACAACAACTATCCAAAAAAAAAAATCATGAACAAGAGAGCCTGGAAACTAAATTTCAAGATAGCATAAATGAAAATTACCCAGTTGTGTCCGATTAATCAGTTGTGTCCGATTTTTCGTTACCCCATTTGGAGTTTTCTTGGCAAAAATCCTGGAGCTTTGCCATTTCCTTCTCCAGCTCATTTTACAGATGTGGAAACTGAGGCAAACAGGGTGAAATGACTTGTCCAGGGTCACACAGCTAGTAAGTGTCTGAGGCTGAATTTGAACTTGGGAAGATGAGTTTTCCTGACTTCAGGTCAGGCACCCTCTTCACTGTGCCATCTGGTTGCCCTTGCCTAGATTTGCTGGAATCTAGAAGGCAAGGTAAAAATAGAGCAAAGCCATGAGACACCTCCTGAACAAGAAGGGTAGATAAGGATTGGAGATGTGACTTCATTGATAGAGATAACTCCCAGATGAGGAAGACCCCCTTTGTCAGGGCAGGTTGGCACCTTCTCTGCCAGTTGCCTGGAATCCCTGAGATCACACAGCTCTCGTGGTGGGAGCTGACCGCATGTGTACTTGGCTTTGAGGCTGACTCTTTGTCCGCTACTGCATGTTACCTGATTAATCTCCCCCAAATGATCGTCAGCATGGACTCAGGGAATAAAACCAGCCCTAAAATTAGAAGCACACTGTACATACATACACACGTACATTTAAACAAAACTGAATTAGATACACTGACAGAGAGTTTTGCAGTAAACCCCCTAGTCCACCTCTCTCCTTTAGAAGCCCTTGGCATGACATGGCTTACACCTTTGGATGCAGGGCACACCTGGCCTCCCAACTCCTAGTCCAGTTTTCATTTGATTTAATTTGGACATCCTTCTCTAAAGTTCTGCACTAGTGGCCCCATAATGTAGGGGTGAGCTAGGGTTTGAGATGGCTACCACAGTAGATAGAGTGTAATCTCTACCAGACTCCACACGCTGGAAGGGCTTTTAGCTCAGGCAGCACCTGGTTTACTTTCAGGTTTTCAGTCATTCGGTGGTGTCTGACTCTTCACGATTCCATTTGGGGTCTTCTTGGCAAAGATACTGGAGTGGTTTGCCATTTCCTTCTCCAGCTGATTTTACAGAGGAAGAAACTGAGGCAAACAGGGGTCACCCAGCTAGTAAGTGTCTGAGGCCGGATTTGAACTCTCCAAGATGAGTCTTCCTGACTCCAAGCCCAGTGCTCCATCTCCTCACTGCCCTCCAGCCGGAGGTGTGTATTCTGGCCACACCCACTCCTGCAGTGTCTCCTAAGCCAGGGAGGGGCCGAGGAGGAAGGGGCCAGTCTGATGAAATCCCTCCCCTTCAAGACTTCCAGTGACTCAGATTCAGGTTAGAGACTTATCCTCCCTGCCGTGACTGCAGCACTTTCTCCTTCCCTCTCTGGCATTTTCTTCAACTGAGTATGAGCAAAGGATGAGCGTGGCTCCATGTTAGGCAGAGCAGGCGCTCCGTGATCCGGGTTTGCCAAACTCCGGGCCTGCTTTTCTTCCCTTTCTTATAGCTCCTGGTCTTGCTTTTGAACAGAAAGTAGGACATTCTGTTCATTCATTGAACAGACATGTAGCGGATACTTACTGTGTCCCAGTCCTGTGGCTACACTGTCAGTACAAAAGAAAAGTGGAATGTTTCCCCTACTCTTTTGGGGAAAATAATAAGGAACAGAAAATGAAATACATAAAAAGTGGATCCAAAGTGCTAGGGAGAACAGGGTGGACTTTCCATAGGGAACTGTCCCTGAAGTTGGGCCTTGAAGAAAACCGTGGATTCCAAAGAGGCAGATGAGGAGGGTGCAGGGCACAGGGCAGCTTGTCCAAAGGCTGGAACAAGCAGTGAAGTGTTTGCACTGTGTATGGGCCAGCAAATAGGTCAGTCTAGCTGGAGTGTGGCGTGCATGTAGGAGAGTCACGGATGTAGTGAGCCTCAAAAGGTGGCCTGGAGCAAAACTGTGAAGGGCTTCCAAAGCCAAACAAAAGTTTCTAAATTATCCTGTGGCAGAGGAATGACTGGTCAGCCCTGTTCTCTAGGAAGATCGGTTTGGCCCCGGGGGAGCTCACTTGGGTATGGAGGATGGGTTGGAGAAGGAAGAGACTGGATGTTAGGGGGCTGTTGTAATGGTCCAGGTGAGAGGGGTGCTGGCTGTGGGAATGGGGAGAAGAGCACATGTGAGCTGTGGTGTGGGGCAGAACTGACTGCTTGGAAAGTGATTAGCTGTGAGGAGTGAGACAGAGGGAGGAGTCAAGGATGACCCCAGCTGCCCCCCAAAAGCAGTATAGAAACCTAGAGAATTTGGGGGCACTGGCCTCCACCATGGTCCCACTCAGAAGCTTACTGGGCTTTGGGGTGACCCTGGGTTTTCAAAGGCCATGACTGAGGACCAAGTAAGCTAAGTTCCTAGAGATTTGTCACCTGAGGTCTAGCTGCCAGATGGTGACATTTTGGCCGCAACAATTCGTTAGTTTTGGAAGGGTTCTGGTCCTCATTACTGGAAGATGAGGAACAAAGATGAAAGCACGAGTCTGTGAAAGAAAGTAAGTTTCAGCTCTGTCAGTTATTTTCCTTAATTCACTATTAGGTACTGTTGTTTTAAGATGAATGGGATATAGAAAACTTTGTGACCCTCTTGTGTGTGATATTTCAGGGAAAGCTTCAAGGTTATTTTTCACTTTGTTCAGTGATTACTTAAGCAGTACCTGCTTGAGATCAGCCGCCTGGACTTCCTCTTTGTTTCCATGGCAGCAGTGAACCCCCATGTTAGAGCAGCTGGGCATGCTGGGGAGCCAACTCCCCCCCCCCCCCAGGCTTCCCTGCTGACCTAAGGCAGGATGGCTGTTGTACAAGGACAACACAGGCTCCGAGGTTTAAAAATCCTGCAATCTTTCTCTCTTTCAAAACCTTTAAAGGGTTGTATGTGCCATGGTTAATTTTATTTCTCTACAGGAGTATTCCAGGATTGCTTCCATATACCATGTACTGATAAGAGCATCTTCAGAGGTTTAATGGGTTGGTGTTAATAGAAAAAAAGTCCCCCAACAACTTTTAACCTCTTGGTTAAAAACCTAATTACCTCCTTTAATCCAGAAATAGGAAAAACTCTTGAGATTTCAAGTAGAGTTTATTATAACTTCCTGTAAAAAAATACCATGGAAACAGCTTCCCTGAGGTGATCTCAGTCCTTCTGCTTCTTTTTTGTAAAAAGTCAGAGAGGGAGACCAGCACTCGATGGAGGGGTTTGGAACCCAAGGGGCTCTGAGGAGGCTTTGACATTTAGAAAAGTCACTTACCTTCCTCCAGCCTCAGTTTCTTGATCTGTAAAATGAGAATGACCTGGAGCATCTACCCTCCTAAGGTTGTGAGGTTCAAAAGAATGTATGTTTAAAAAAAAAAGATAACACTAAAAATAGTCAAGTAGATATTAGCATTATAAAATGTGATAAAAAAATAAAAACCTAGAAAACGTTGTTGAGGATCGAGCTCTCAAAAGCTTGAGCAGCATTTGGGTAGATAAAAAGAAGCCAAGAAGGGAAGAGAGGGGGATGAAACAAAAGGAAATAAAGGAGTGACTTGGAAGGAGTGGGAGGGTGATTGAGAGGGGATGCTTCCATCTAAGGCTCCTGGGGGGACTCCCTTGGGATGGCATTGGCTGTTGGAGGAAGAAGACCTGGCCTTTCCTGGTGTGGTCCCCAAGCCGCTTCTGCTTTCCTTGGCTCGTGCCCGGGTTCTAGGAGTACCCAGGCACGCTACTGCCTGCCTGTAGTAGTGATACCGAAGGACCCGATGGGGAAAGGACTTCCTGTGTGAAAGGCAACTTGCTCGGATGAAGACAGGGCCCCTGATCTTGAGAGCTTTCTCTCTGAGATTGTGATAAAAGTGGGCAGATGCAGGGATAGGCACCGGAAGGTGTTTCTGAATGCCAGGGTGAAATGCAGCAATGTGGAGGATGGCCACAGAGGCAAATGCAGATCCTCCAAAATGGGGATTGGGCATCAGGTGGTGGTTTTATGTGGTTAAGTTTAGAGTCTAGCCCAGTAAAATCAATCTTGCTTAAACAACAAGAAGGCCTGTCAAAGGGCCCCATGTATTGTCTCTGTAGCTCAGGGCGCAGGACAGAATCAGAACCAAATGCAGATTTTGCCCCACGGTGAGGAAGCGTTTACTGGCAATTAGAGCTGACTCAGAATGGAATGAGGTCCCTCAGTAGGTGGTGAGCCCTTCATCACTGGCTGTGCTCAGGCAGTGTCAGGATCACCGGGTGTCTGAGATGGTGCAGAGGGAACTCGTGGTTTAAGCAAGGGCTGGACTCTGACTTCTCGTATTCCCTCTGCGTATAGGATTTTATGAATTTGACCTTATTATGACTGAATATTTGGCATAGAAGACAGTAACAGAAATATAGAATTATCAAACTGGAATGGCCTTAGAAATCATCTACTCCAGCTCATGCATTTTATAGATGAGAAAACAAGCAGAGTGACTCGCACGAGGTTCTGTAGCTAATTAATTGTGGTGTCTGTTTCCATCTTCCCCTCCACATAAATTCTGCCTGGATTATTCCATGGCCAAGGAAGCAAGAAATAGCTTCAAAAAACATCCCGACTTCTCTTCCCCACCACACTAGCAGCTGTGCCCAGCAGCAGCCTTTCACCTGGATAGCCACCTGGCCAAAAACCCTCCCCAGTGTCCATGTAAGCTCATTTTTATGGTTCTTGGCGGTGTTTCCGTCTTCAGGAGCCCCCTCTTGAAAGTGCAGATGCCCCTGGGAAGGATCATGTCATGCCACTGTGTGTGGGGTGGGGGGGTGGTAGAGGGTTCTGTCGAAGAAATTCCAGTAGGGCTGTTTGGAAGCTTGGTATGTAAGGTAACGGTCATTTTGTTGCCAAAATCCTCTCTAAATACTCATGAGCGTTAATATCAGCAAGAACAGCTGTGGAGAGAAGAAGGTGAGGTCATCTCCTTCTACCCCCTAGGCCCATATTCTTATTTTTATCATGTGTCTCTACCTGACAAGAATAGCAGCGATTCCTTGTGTTCCATGCAGAGCCTGACTGTCTATCATGAAATGTGCTTCTTCCTCAGAGAGAGGGTGGGAGAGAAAGACAGATGGGAGGCGATGTGGTAAAATGGTTTAGGATTAGGAGTCAGACCTGGGTTCCAACACTGCCTAATAATCGATGGGTGACCCTCAGTGGTCTAGGCCGGGGGTCTACCTGCAAGCTCTACAGGAGTGCTGGCTGAGCTGGACTAAAACCTCATTGGGAACTATTTAATAAAATAAATGAAAATACAGGAGAGCCTAGATAGTGCTAATCTGCTAGCGCTCCCCGCCCTCCATCCTTGTGTGCTGTTTAGTAGGCCCCATTTCTATCTGAGTTGGACGCCTCTGCTCGGGGCCACTCTACTGCTGTCAGCTGTTGAGGTGACCCAGATTGGTAGAGGGAGCTTCTGTCAGAGAGTTCTGCATGCCGATGAAAACAGTCCGGCCCCTAGCCCTGCTGTTTTAGTGCTTGCTGGGTTTTGTGTTTAGCACTGCCCTCTTAGTGTTTTCTAATTAAAAACAATCAAAAGCAGTGGCTCAATTTTAGCACAGGTTATGGTCTGGAAATTATTGCTGGAATTCAGAAGGTGCCATAGCTTGAGGGGAGCATGAGGAAGTGAAAGGTCTTCTCCATGGAAGCTTCCCAGAAGATGATGTCACAGTTCCCATGGTGCCTTTGGATTCCCATTTTTTCTCTTCTGTTCAGGAGCCAGAATTGATTGGGGGGAGGGGTGTGAGGAGCTTCTCTTTCCTCCTGGGTTTCTTGTGCAGAATTTCCCCTTTGTTGAGTGTTTAGATCCACTAGTGCCTGGGCCCATTGGCAGGCTTTGAGGGAGCTCTCTGCTGGGCAGCCACACATAAAGCCAAAAATGACAGTAGAACGGATTTTTTTTCTGACCCTATTTATCTTGATATAAAAGTGTTGCTTTTATTTCAAATCCAGCTTGTCTGTCTTTCATAGCTAAAGCACCAGTTACTTTTTCAATCATCTAATATTTGTTAGCACCTACTATGTGCTAGGCACTCTGCTAAATTTCTTGATTAATTTTTTTATTTTGATTTGGTTATGTGCGTATGTCACTATATAATCTTATTCTCAGTCATTACATTATACCTTATTTAGAGGTACAGTCTGTCCAGGGCAGTCTGTCTTGAATGAGACCTGGACACTTGAAGTATTCTCATTCATGCTGTGAATTACCTGTTTCCATTGACCTAGCATCTGGATATTCAGCATAAATTAGGGGCTAGGATTTCTAAATCTGGAGTCCAACATCCCAACTCCTAGCTTTTAGTTCTAAAATCTGTCCAAAGTTTTTCGTATTCTCCCCTGAATAGTAAAGAGGAGTTATAGACAGCTACACAGGCAAATAGATATGATTTCCGTCTTCACTATTTTGTTTTAAAAAATATTTGAATCAATAAGTCTTTGCAGCAATTTTATATTTAACTTGAGTAAATAAATCATCCTAACAGGATAGGGAGCCTTTGCTTAATATAAAATGCCTACATTAAACTATCAGTGTAGAACATTTTCTTAATACATTTGCAAAGCATTTTCCTTTTCAGGTATAATAAAATGCTTTGACAGGGTCACAGATAGAATGCTGATCTCAGCCTCTTAGTAAAGTATTATTCCTATGTGATTCACAGGTTGTTGTTGTTGTTGTTTTAATTCCTGGTATCCTAAGATACTTATTTGTCCTTAGTAAGACAAAAAGCCCCACCCTGATGTCTCATAGTGACGTGATTTCAGTGATTCCAAGCAGCGACTTGACACAAAATCCCATCTTATTAACACCTAAACTCTGCTGGTAAATCATGGAGCACCGCCTTCTCTAAAAAATAAATAGTGCAGTTGACCCAAAGGATAATGGAAAGACTTTATACTGCCTGAGTTCTCAAAGGTTTTGCCAATGAATGGGCAAATTCAGCCAACCCAGGATGGTTTTTATATATTCTGGTGACAGGTTGCATCTTCTATCCAAAGACCAGCCCAGCCAAGTGGAATGAAGGAAATCACCAAAGATGTGGCCATCAGGTGTTTTATTCTGGGTGTATTGACCGCAAGACAGATACAAATACAAAATAGGCTTCTAATATGGTCCCCTTTTGCTTCTGCAGTGATCAGAGCCAGGGCGGGGGGAGGGAGAGCATGTAGAAAAAGGAGTGAGAGGGTATTAAGAATCACATAGGTCTCAGCCCATTGCTGCTTTTAAATATGTAGTCTTTGTCCAACTATATCCCTATTAGTCAATACAAATACAGTTGACAGGTTCTCCTTGGAAAGTCAGATAAAGTGGGTTTCAGTATCTTCCCACAGGCAATAAAAACATTTCATGCCACGTTTACAGAATCACAGAAACGTGAGAGATAGAAGGAACTTCATCCAACCCATAAACAAAAGGGATCCTCCCATAACCGCCAACACGTGACTGTCCGGCTTCTGCTTGAAGACCCCCAAGGAGGGGGAGCAGCCCATCCCCCTGTGGGGTGGCTCTGATTGTTGGAAGCTTCTCCTGACATCCAGCCTCAGAGAGAAGGAAACATCCATAAATGCTTCTTCTTTTGCCAGTGCTATTTATGCAAAAGATTCTTCTAAAACTTTTTTTTCCTTTAATTCTTTCAGATTATTGTGCCTTTGGAGAGACCATTGATCCACAGAAAGATGACTGAAAGTAGTGGAAAGGAAAAAGTTAAATGGATTACAACTGTAATTATAAGCTCATCTCTTCAGGTATAGGGGTTACTCAGTGACTGAACTACTAATAATAATAGCATTTATATAGTGCTGACTATGTGCCAATGACTGTGCTAAGCACTTTACAATTATTATCTCATTTGAGCTTTGCAACAACCCTGGGAGATAGGTACTATTATTATCCCCATTTTAAAGATAAGGAAACTGAGGGGGCAGCTAGATAGTGCAGTGGATAGAGCACCGGCCCTGGAGTCAGGAGGACCTGAGTTCAAATCCAGCCTCAGACACAGAACACTCACTAGCTGTGTGACCCTGGGGCAAGTCACTTAACCCCATTGCCTAGCAACCAAAGAAAAAAAAGATAAGGAAACTGAGAGAAACAAAGGTTAAGTGACTTGCCCAGATCCTACTGTTAATAAGTGTCTGAGGCTGGATTTGAACTCAAGTCTTCCTGACTGCAGGTCTGGACTCTATCCACTGCACCACCAAGCTGCTATTGATTTCCAACATTGATTTTAAAATGTCATTTTTAAATGATTAGCTCTGTTATTCATAGTTATATAGATAACTTTAGGATCTAGGCCAGGGGTTCTTAACCTAGCATCTGTGAACTTCTTTAAAAATAGACTAATAAATAGTTAGAACCATAAAAACAATTGGTTTCCTTTGTAATTATCTGTATTTTGTTTCATGCACTTAAAAACACTAGTCTGAGAAGAACTCCATAATCTTCACCAGACTGTCAAAGGGGTCTATGACACAAAGTAGATTAAAAACCCCAGTCCAAGTTTCTTAATGCAGTTAGCTGTACAATTCATCTAACATATTTGTGATTTCCCTCCCAGTCAGTGTTTCACACTTTATCTGGGTACTTCTTTAGGTGTTTAGTAAAGGTACTTTTATGCTCATATCCTTGAGTATTTCAGTGAATCTATATCTCATCAATGAGAGAACTCCTTCCAGTAGCGCAGATTACAGCCCAACCTCAACTAATCCTGTGAGACTCTTGACATCTCCCCCATATATCTTCCATAACAGAGCCACTCGATGCCCTGGAGGCCCTTTCATCTTTTAGTATTTTAGAGTAAATTATTTTATTATTGACTATAATTATCATATGAATTATCTTACTAATATATAAATAAATATATTAATTATATAAGACATATTGTTAATATATAATTAAAATTATATATTAATAAATATATTAAATTGATTATTTTATACTGAATATACTTAGTAGAATGCAGGGCCTGGTCTGTCCCTCTGTTATCCCTTGCTGTAACCACCTCATCTCCTTTTCTGTCATGTATTTTGTGCTGAAACCCTTTGTACGTTTTTGAACAAGGGTAATTGTAAGTAATCTACTGTAGTCTACATCAATCCAGAATATGTTTCTCCATGGCCCTTTGACTCAAGGGCAGTTTTTATTTTTCAGAGGCTGTAATGGTCCATGATTCCTCAGATTGGTATGGCTGTTAATGAGATGGATTTTTGTGTCAAGGGGCTGCTTGAAACCATTAAAAACATTGCACGGTTTTCCAAACGCAATCTATACCAGCCTTAGCCTCCTACTCAGTTCTGAGCCCCATTCATTATCCATCTGTATTGCTTGTCCAAGATAAGTGTGGATGGACTAACACAATGGACGTCCCACTGGGCCATGTGTAAGTTGGCTCTATGTTTCTTGGTTTTGTTTTTGTTTTGGTTTTTTTTTTGCTTATTTTTGCTTAACAGAGAAGGCAACTATTTCCACTCATTTCGGTATCTACAGTTGCTGTTGTCTAGGAAATTTACTTTTATTTCTCTGTTCATCTCAATTTTTTCTCCCCGTATTTTTAAATTAAATTTTATTTTTTTCAGTTAACTCATTCTGGACCTTGAGTCCATGGGGGTATAGCATGTTTCATATTTGGTCCTCATGGTTGGTGATTGAGTTGATCAGAGTTGTCTCGTTGTGATCATGTAGTAAAAGAGAGAGATAACTGATGGATAGCTAATTTATGCAGTAGTACCCACAAAATATTAATAGACCTAGAATAAGGCTTCTAGTACATTGGATGACTCCTCTGTAGGGAATGTATGGGAAGAATTGACAAGAGTCTTACAGCATACAAAGAAATGGATGGGTTGTCATTTGTATAGTTGAAGAGAGCCATTGATGGTATCATGGATTCATTGAAGTATAATTAATTACTTTGGAAAAATAGTGGGATATTAGGTAACTACATAATAATATGTATTTTTATGTATCACTAATAATTTGGGAGGAATGGAAACAGAAATAACATTTATAGCAATGATAGTCTATCAAATACTTGGATATTATTAAAATTAAATCATTTTATAGTTATCTTTCTCTCTTATCTAATAGATATTTAATATCTATTAGATCTAATAAATATATAATTATTAATAACTATTATACTATTGATTATTAATATATAGTTATCTAATGTCTAATGATTACTATCTAATAGATAAGAGATACAAATATCTATTAGATAAGAGACAGGTAACTATAAAATCATTTAACAAAATAAAAGAATAAAAGAAAAAAATTGGAGACAGCTGTTTCATATAGTTATGTTTAGCAAATATAATAAGAATATCATTGTTTCCCAAGGTAATTTGTAGATTTATCATGATAGCATTCAAAATATCAAGGGGCTAATTCATAGTATTAGATAAAATTGTAACAATTTAGATGAAAAAATAATCAAGACTAAAAGGGTAAACCATAAACAAAAACCAATGAAGATTGTAAACTATAGCATGCATCAGTAATTAGCAAAATTATCTAGTATTGGATTTAAAAACATAAGATAGATCAGTGAAATATAATAGAAGAACTAGAATTGGAACTAAAGTTAAACTGTTTGATAAAGCCAAGCTCATAAAACATTAGGTAAAGCAATTCAGTAAAATTTGGGGGAAATACTGGATGGTGATAATTTAGTGAATAATGTTGTCTGCACTCGCACCTCATACCATACGCTATAATAAATTTTAATTAGCTGCTGAAATGGACCGGTGATTTCACTGATTTGGATGTTCTCTCCAGTGATGCAAATTGCAACCTGCTCGTACTTGTTCCTCCTCTATAACTCTTGTCTTTGTCCTCTCATAGGTTCACTGGGAACAATCCACCCAGTGTGCTGGAGGAAGAAAGCCTTCCTTCCTTTCTTCTGGCATCCTCAGGCGTCTAGAACTCAACTGTCCACCTACCCACCTTCAACATACATATTGATATTCCCTCAAACACCCTAAGTTCCCAGTTCCTCAATTTACTCATTTCCCATGGCCTACTCTTCCATCCCACCTTGATTACATACCCTTGATCTTGTCATCACTTAGAAGTGCTCCATTTCCACATTCACAAACTCTGAAATTCTTTTATCTGATGATAATCTTTTATCATTCCATCTTTCCCTCTGCCTATAACCCCCAACTGTATTTTTCATCCTCACCTTGACTTCCAATTGATGGATTCTTTAGTCCTTTCCTAGGCCTTCTCCCTTCACTGGCTACATTCTCCTCCCTCCTCCATTTTGACACCTTGGTGAACCACCTTAACCCTACACTGTCCCCTACACTCGAATTCCTTGTCCCCTTATCCTGTCACTGATCTTGCTTTGTTGATCCTTAGCCTTGGATTACTCCCACAATCTGCTGCCTTCACTCATGTTAATATGCTTCTGAACAGAGCTGGAGAAAAACGTGAAATGCTGCTGCCTGGATCCACTACAAATTTATATTAGATAACCTCAGCTGGACCCTCACTGCTGCAAGACAAAATCCTTTTACACTTCCCAAATCAGCTCCTCCCAGGGGCTTTTACAAAGCTTCTCATCCCTCTTCCAACCTCTCATCGCTTCCTGTCCCACCACCCTCTCAGCTGAGAACCTTGCCTTATATTTCACTGAAAAAACTGAAACCATTCACTGAGAGCTCCCTCTTCTCCCCTCCTCTTCATCTTACGTGACTCAGATGTCTTCCTCCATTACTTCCTCCTTCACTCCTATCTTATATAAATTGGTGACCTTTGTCATTGCCCAGGCCAATCCTTCTGAATGCACGAGTGATCCTACTCCATCCTGTCTTCTCCAGAAGATTTTCTCGATCTGTCATCCCCACCTTTTCACTAATCTTTAATCTTTCCCTGTCTACTAGCAGATTTCCTGCTACCTGCAAACATGCCCACATCTCCCCCATTCTCAAAAAACCCTCACGTGATCCAACCATCCTATTACCTGACAGTGTTCCCCATTTTGGTGACTAAGCTTCTTGAAAAGGCATCTTCAATCAGCACCTGCACTTCCTTTCTGCAGCCTGGCTTTTGGCCTCGTCATTCCATTAATACTGCTCTCTCCATAATTACCAATAGTCTCACCCTTTTCTCCTCGATACTCTCTCCTCTAGGCTTTTGTGACACTGCTCTAGCCTGGTTTCTTCTCACCTGCCCCACTGTTCCTTCTGCGTCTTCTTTTCCGGCTCTTCATCCAGGATGAGCCCACTAAACCGTGAGTGTACCTCAGGGGTACATCCTTGCTTTCTTCTCCCTCCATACTTTTTCATTTGGTGATCTCGTCAGCTTCAATAATTAAATTATTATCTCTATGTAGATGACTCTCCGATATATTTATCCAGCTCTCTTAACCTCTCTTCTGACCCATACTTTCTCATTTCCAATTGTCTTATTGGACATCTCGAATGGGACATCCCATAGACATCTTAAATTCAACATGTCCAAAACCAAACTTATCATCCCCCCAACCCCAAAAATAGAATAAACAAACAAAACCCTTAACTCCCTAATACTGTCAAGGCACCAACATCCTCCCAGTCACCCAGGCTCAAAACCCTCCTTATCCAATCTATTGCCAAGTCTTGTTACTTCTGTCTTTGTAACATTTTGTTCCTCTTCTGACACCACCACCACCCTGGTGCTGGCCCTCCTCTCCTCCTTTCTGAACCATTGCCTTCCTTGCCTCAATTCTCTCCCCAGTCTGGTCCATCATTCTCTCAGCTGTTGA